CATACCAATGTTACCAAAACCTGACCCAAACTCGACCCTCAAAACTTCAAATCTTATTTTCAAATCCCTAAGTTCCAACCCCCGATTTACACCTAAAAAACATGTAATCTAGTTAGATTATTCGATGATAATTCAATATTATGGAGTAGAAATGATCACAAGGGACTTACCTCAAGTTTTCCCGTGAAACCTTGCTCAAAATAGCCCAACCCGAGCTTGAAATGCCCAAAAATGGCAAAAGCTCGGAACCCCTATGTTTTTGTACTGTCCAGGGATTTTCGCATCTGCGGCAACTTGGCCGCTTCTGCGCCAACCACATGTGCGAAAAAAGTCCCGCATCTGCATGCCTGTTTGCGCTCCTGCGTAGGCTGCTTCTGCGCGCGTCACTCCGCATCTGCGCTCACGCAGGTGCGGAATTTCCCTCGCACCTACGACCACTGCCCCATAGTCCATTTGCGCATCTGCGCTTGCCAGGCTCGCTTCTGCGAGCTCGCACCTGCGATAGAATTTCCGTAGGTGCGATTGCAGTAGAGGGCAGAAACTTCATCTATTTCTTCTAAGTCCGAATTTGATCAGTTAACCATCCGAAACTCACCCGAAGCCACCGGGACCTCAACCAAATGTACCAACAAGTCCTAAAACATCATACGAACTTAGTCGAGCCTTCAAATCACATCCAACAACACTAAAACACGAATCACACATAGATTCAAGCCTAATGAACTTTGAAATTTTTAATTTTTTCAAATGACTGCGGAACCTACCAAATCACGTCCGATTGACCACAAATTTTGCACACAAGTCATAAATGACATAACAGAGGTACTCAAATTTCCAGAATAGGATTTCGACCCCGATATCAAAAAGTCAACCCCCGGTCAAACTTCCCAAAAAATTCAACTTTCGGCATTTCAAGCCTAATTCCACTACGGACCTCCAAATAATATTTCGGACACTCTCCCAAGCCCAAAATTACCATACAGAGCTATTGGAATTATCAAAATTTAAATATGAGGTCATTTACACATAGGTCCATATCCGGTCCATTTTTCTAACTTAAATTTTTAATTATGAGACTAAGTGTCTCATTTCATTTTGAATTCCTTCCGGACCCCAAAAAACTAACCCGGTAAGTCATAAAACAACTATATAAAATAAATTGAGCAATAAATGGGGAAACGAGGTTATAACACTCAAAACGATCGGTCGGATCGTTACAGGTTGACTTTTTGATATCGAGGTCGGAATCCTATTCTGAAAATTGGAATACCTCTGTTATGTCAATTGTGACTCGTGTGAAAAATTTGAGGTTAATCGGACGTGATTTGATAGGTTCCGGCGTCGTTTGTAGAAATTTGAAGTTTCAAAGTTCATTAGGCTTGAATCTATGTGTGACTCGTGTTTTTAGTGTTGTTGGATGCGATTTGAAGGCTCGACTAAATTTGTATAATATTTTAGGACTTGTTGGTATATTTGGTTGAGGTCTCGGAGGGCCTCGGGTGAGTTTCGGATGCTTAACGGATCGAATTTGGATTTGGAGGAGGAGCTGAAGCAGCTGGGCATCTGGTGTGATCGCACCTGCGCAAAAAAGGGCCGCAGGTGTGAGCTCGCGGATACAAGGCATTAGTCACAATAGCGGAAATGCAAGGGCTGGCCAGACACCGCGGGTGCAAAAATTTTGGTTGTACTCATACTACACTCTGCACCTTGTGTGCAGATCCAGGTGCTTCCGGACACGGCGGCTATTAGACCTCAGTGTGTTACCAGTTGGAGACTATCAGGGTAGTTGCCTGGCGTTCGCTGACCTTGTCCCTCTTTCCTTCAGTTATTGTACTGTTCTATACTTTCAGGCAGTGGTTTTTATCAGTCAGATATTTATTCATATTAGATGCTCATGTACTCAGTGACACCGGGTTTTGGGAGTGTTATATTTGTATTTTTGAGATTTCTTCCGCTGAATATGATTATTTTGTTTTCAAATTAAAAAGATATGGTGATTTATTAAGATTTTGGGTTTGCCTAGTATTGAGATATGCATTATCACGACTGGTGAGATTTTGGGTCATGACAAGTTGGTATCAGAGCTTTAGGTGACATAGGTTTCACGAGTCATGAGCAGGTTTAGTAGAGTCTTGCGGATCGGTACGGAGACGTCTGTACTTATCTTCGAGAGGTTGTCGAACCCTAAGAAAATTTCCTTTCTTGTACCATATCGTGTGAAATTGATTCGGCTTGAAACATAACTCTTTGAAATCCTTCTACGTATTTGTGTGCACATGTGAGCGCTCGGTATCAGCTGTGTATCGCTGGCTTGTGATTCCATGAATGAGGTTCGAGATGAGTATTCTGTATTTTGTTGATGGCACAGTCTAGAGGACTTGAGGCTGGTGTTAGACCGCAGCTTAGGCTCGGTAGCTTCAGTTGTAACTTGTACATTTGGACTCATATGTCTGGTAAGGTCCCTACGAGTAGAATTTGTGGCTCGATGAGCGGTGGAATGGCTTTGTGATGCGTATGATATGACCGCGGAATGTGTTAAGACGATTTGAATGTGACGAGAAGTGTTTCCTTGAAATGTAAAGAAGGGTCCATTGTGTGTTTGATTTTCATTCTGATGTGACGTACATTCTCGACTATGAATATTTTGAAGGATCTATCACGTTGTAAAATTTTGGGACAAATTAAATTCTCATGTCTTGCTAATGAGTTTGGACTCAGATAGACTAAGTGATTGCATAGTAATTGGGACTGCAAAAGGGTATTACAAGATACCAATTTGAGGCTAAGTAGGTGGGTTATCCCCTGTAGAGTAATCTACGTAGGTGTGTTTCTTATAATGTGAGTGGAGAATTTCTTATCTACCGGTGGGGTATGTGTTGAGATTTGAATTTGAATCTGGTTAAGAAAGTTGACTTGACTGTCAAGAGACTAAATGCGAGTTTAGCGGATGATTGAGGTATCTTATGGTTGGTGTTGCATGAGCTTAAGAATAATTTTCGTTGAACTGACTGTTGTATTATGGCGGTAATAGAGTATGGGTATTGTGGGTTATGGAACGTTTTGTTCTATGGCTTTGAGCCAAGTGGGGGAGCCTACTGCGGACAACTTAATTTCATGGTTAAATATTAAATTTTAGTTTTGGTCTGAGGCATACTTGTGGATTTCTTATGACTTGCAAAGATGGAGATCGGGGAGGACTCGAGTAAGGAAATTCTTGAATACGGGTTATATTGCGCTTTATGAGTATATGAAAATCATGGGATAAGTGAGTTGTTATTTTTGAATGATGTAGTACGCACAGAGTATGAATTTGATCAGTGGTGTTAAGGCAGGGTTACCTCTTTAAGTGTTGCTGTGCTAATGGGGCACGTGTCTTTCAGCCCGTTTGGGCAGTGCAATTTAGAATTGAGCAAAGTGGGTGACTCTTGAGAAGGTGCTAATGGATTCAAAAATGTATAAGTGGATGGTGTCGGGACTTGCGGTAATTCTGTATGATTATGGATTCCACATTTCAGTATAAGAAAGGGAAGAGCAATAATTTTAAATTCACATAAGGTATTTTCAGAGTGGGCATTTCGGTTGCGGTACTTATGGGGGTGCTTAAGAAAAATACAGTAACTTATGGGCCTTAGGGCGATGCGATTTTATGTTAGTATGTATTGTAGTGAGCTTTGGATAAGGATCGTAGTGTTCTGACAAGGAGAAGTATCAACTTGAAGGTAATTTAGAAGAAACTTAGAGGAAATAGGACAATTGGGTGGTAGGCTATACCAGTATGGTAGTGGTATGCTCGGTTCTTGTGGGTAATTAGATGTGATATGTTATGCGGGGTTAAGATTTACATGTACAAAATGGCAGTTCAGTCTTGAAGGGAAGGCCGCGAAGTTTAGATAGAATGGTCAATTTCAGTTATTTAGACGAATGTTATAATTGCTCGATAATTCCGGAGAAGGGTGCACATTTCAGAAGGGGCATTGTGTTTTGACTTATGGATATTCATCGGTATTGCAGTACTCACATGGTTGATAGACTGCTGATATTCAAATTAATGCTATGTGGTATGGAAGAATTATGGAAGTATTCCTCATGGGATGATCGTGCATGAAAAATGCTAGAATTAGGATTAGTTATGATGATTCATGTGTCCTATAATTTTGGAAGCTAGGAGTTCTGAGAAGCATATTGTTTCAGGGTTGCGACCTGTTTGAGGTGAGTATTTTATTTAAACTCAGTGGAGGCACTAGTTGTGTTAATTATTTGTGATAGCTACACGCTATGAGTGTACATATAGGTGAGGTGTGAGCCCATGTGAGGGCATCAGGGCAAGTATCGATACTCGAAAGAATGCTTAGGCTATGATATGCCTAGAGTTGACTGTTAAGCGTAAAGTTATAACGTTTATCATATTCGTACCTTTATCGAAAACCATATGGACTACACTTGAGGTTACAAAGAGGCTAATTCCCTGAATAAATTGGGTAGTTACTATTTCTGTGTTAACTTGCCGATTTGAGTGGTGATAGCACACTTTGCACCTGCCTACTCTATGACGTATTATTTATACCAGTCCAGGAGCATGAGAATCTTAATTCATTTATCATATATATGTGTACTTACTTGATTGCTCCTGTATGATATGCTTGGACTAGAGGCCTGTGACTAGGGGTGTACGTGAGGCAATTTGGTTCAATTTTTTATTAAACCAAAATCAAACCAATTATGTCGGTTTACTAAATTTATAATCAAATCAAACCAACATAAACTCTGTTTTTTGGATTTCGGTTTTTGTCGATTTCTTCGGTTTCCTCGGTGTTTCGGTTTATTTTTGGTTTTCCTTTTTAGTTATATTATGCTTGAAAAAAAAATCAAATAATCATCAATTGTCCGCATGATTACTATTCATTAAAATAATATATGAAGAATAGCAATTGTTCGTATGAATCATAATTTCAAGATCTTCCATGATAGAAAATGACAACAAACATGTGATAAACCAAAGCTACAACCCAACTTGTAGTTCCACAAAAAATATTAAGTTAATTAAAGTTGGACAAGACAAAAGATAAAAAAAAAAAAAAGCAACAAGCAACCAAGCACCATGAATAGGTTGACATTATTTTGTTTAACTAAAGTTCTGAACTAATCAATACTCAAAGGGTCACCTGGACATTCTGGGAAAAAAAACAGTTACATGTTAAACAATATAAAGATAGAATCAAATTCATTATGAATTAAATATATAAAATTACCTTCTTCAACTTGCTCAATTTTTTTAATTTCTTCTAGATAATCTTGAAGCTTGCATTCCTTAGGTGACTTTATCCATTGTTGAGTACAAATAAGAGCTTCTACCATCTTTGGTGATAAAGAACTTCGGTAAGAATCGAGAATTCGACCACATGTACTGAAAGCTGACTCAGATGCAATAGTAGAAATAGAAATTGAAAGAACATCCCTTGCCATTTTTGAAAGAATTGGATATTTACTAGATGAAGCTTTCCACCAAACCAAGATATTTAAATCCTTGGTCTTCTCCACATTATCCGTCAAGTATTTTTCAAGCTCAGATTTTTTTTTCAACATCTCCCTCATCTTCCAAATATTTCTCCCAGCGAAATAGCAAAATATCACCAACTTCAGTCACCATACTAGTTTCACCTCCAGAATTGTCATTAGAAGATTCAGAGAAAGAATTATTGTAATGATCATACAAATGAGTCAAAGCACCTGTCACCTGATCTGATTTCAATTTTCTCACCAAAGGATTATATGATATACTAAGAATGAAGTTCACATACTTCATCTTATATCTGGGATCCAGCACAACAACAATGAACAATAACATGTTCAAATTCTCAAACATACCCCAGTATTTATCAAACTTTCCTTTCATCTTGTTAGCTATATCAATCAAAATAAGATCTTCACTATAAGAATACTTTATAATAGCATTTCGAACATTAAAAAATTCATGGAAGAATGCATTCGAAATAACATATAAGCTTCCTGAAAATTTTAAAGTGGTCTGGTAAAAAATATTAAGGAACATGATAAAAGCTTTCACAATCTTCCAATCATCAGCAGATGTATGTCCTTTTGTTACCTCTCGACAATACTTTTGATACTTATGGTCATCAACGTACATTCTTGTAAAGGCCTTTTCAAATTTCACAGTTGTATCTAACATTATATATGTAGAGTTCCACCTAGTCTCAACATCAAGACTCAAAAGACCATGATTGTCTATCTTAACTTTCTCAACATGTGACTTGAAAGAATCAAACCTTGAAGAGGAAGACTTGACATATTTTACCGCATTTCTAATACGAGAAATGGGCTCAATTTGTTCATCTAACCCATCTTTTACAATCAAGTTCAAAATATGTGCATTACATCTAACATGTAAAAACTCCTTTTCCAATATTACTCCTTTCCAGTCATCAATATGTGCCTTCAAATGCTTAATAGAAGAATTATTCGCACTTGCATTATCTAGCATCACCGTAAACAAGTTCTCAATACCCCACTCTAACATACAAGCTTCAATACCCTTAGCAATAGTCTCTCCCTTGTGATCTGGTGTTTGGAAAAAGTTAAGTATCTTCTTTTGTATATTCCATTTATCATCAATCCAATGGAAGGTGACAACCATATAAGTAAAAGTTTGGAGTGAAGACCATATATCACTAGTAAGACATACATGTAGGTTCTTGATAAGTTTTTTTCAGTTTTTCTTTCTCCTCTTGATAAATCTTCAAACAATCTCTAGCCACAGTTACACGAGAAGGTAATTCAAAATTAGGCAAAGCCTTAGCCATTAACTTTTTAAATCCTTCTCCCTCAACAACTTAAATGGATGCTCGTCAATAATAACAAATTAGGCAGTTGCCCTCCTAATATCCTCCATATTATACACCACCCTTCCAATAGAACTTTTACCAATTTCTTGTCCCCCTTCTTGGATAGGTGTAAGTTTCAATGTAGATTGCTTCCTATCAACAAATCTAAAGGGAGATTTAAGACACATCAAATTTAAATGATTCCACAAAGTAGAAGTTCCATTAGTCTTGGTCTCGGAAGTAAAGTGTTTTACATAATAATTGCATTTTGCTCTACGTTTGCCTCCTTTATCAATAAATTTTTTAAAGTGATTCCAATTATCAGATGTTTCTCTTCTAGTATTATTAGGCTTAGAATCGGGATCTGAAGGATTTGTTCTTTTTTGCTTTTTAGGAGGAGTGCGTGTATGAGGAGTGTTTTTACCTTTCTTTTGAGGTGCCACTGACACAATCAGAGGATCATTGACAATCATCTCCACATCTATTTCATTGGTAGTTTCCATCTAGAAAGAGAGTCTCTACACATAATAAAACATTCGAATTACTTACTGAAATTTAAAGAAAAATAAATGAGAAAAAAGAGAAGTTCGGAAGCTTCTCAAATCCAGGTTACTTCTTAGAGAACCTTTAACATTAAGCAGTGATTTCATCACAAATATAAGTGCAATATTGGAGTGAAAGAACACAACTCGTAACATCAAATTTCAGGACCAACAATCTAAGATAACAATTATACCTAAATTTAAAAGGACAAAATAACATAACTGATTTAATCAAATACTTTAGCTTACCAAATTGTATTGGAGCGGTAAGACTAATATGTAATTACAAACTTGAACAGTGGCTCGAAATTGCAAAGAAGGAAGCTCGTCATGAAGTGGATGGAAGGGTTTTCACTATTTGGGGTTCTTTGACTTTGGAGTTGGAAGATAGGAA